TGTTGTTTTCCCAGGTTAGAAAAACAGAACCAGATGTTGTTTACCAACCTACCACCTACTGTTTTGTCAAGCCAGGTTGGTTCTGTTGCTTGGAATTATTTGGGATCATCCCTGGTTGTTCCCAGGTTGAATCCCAAGGTCCTTGCTAGCTATAACTATTTATTCATTCTCTGTTTGTACCTGGATATAGTGATATTGATTCAAGCGCATTCCTTCCTTGCTGGAATTTCGTTTCTACGCGGTGCGACAACAGAATGGTACCGAGCTTTAAAAAAAGCTCTTGGAGCGAGCTTCGATATAAGAAATCTTCAGCATAATCCGATCTACGGTCTGCACGATACGCTGCGCAACGTTCAAGGTACTCTTGCTAACTTGGCTAAGTCATCCTTGACTCCTCTCTTTACAATCTCGGACCCGAGGATAGGGGCTGGTCTTGTACCAGGTGTCGGAATGTGAAGGAACGAATGATTGAACTAGCAAGCAGGTGGGTACAAGTAGGAAACCTAAAAGTGTTGTACCCTATATTGACTACCCCACTACAGCCTACACAGACTATGTCATATATGTTTGACACACCCCCATAGGCAAAGTGGGGGAGAACAAGAGGTCAAAAGACCGGTCAAGAAAGACAAAGCAAGCTCAGGGTGGATCACGACGTCACCACGCATTCCGAGCACAAGCAAATGGCCACAAGGCCAGTTCACATGCAGAGTTATATAAAGGAGAACAAGCAATACAGTGATCACAACCTAGCAAGTGTAAGCATGCAGGTATATGTATAGAGATCACAGTACAAGCAGAGTCAAGAAGTAAGCAAGTGAGGCACAGTAGGCACAAGGCCTAGAACAGTACAGAAACGCTGACGATCACAAGGCTGAAGCGCCTTGGTGAAGACATCAGCAGTGTTGGCCCGAGTGGCCACGTAAGCAAGACGAAGCTGACCACGCTGCTGCAACTCTCGAGCAAGGAAGTAGCGCAAAGCGATGTGCTTCGTTCTGTGCTCCAGTCTGTGCTCCTGACACAAGGCAATCATGGCCTTGTTGTCGACGTACAGCACTGGAGGAGAACGAGGCGGCTCGCCCAGGTCGGTCAGCAGGTAGGTGAGCCAGCGTAACTCCTGTGCAGCCATGGCCCCTGCGTAGATCTCAGCCTCACAGCTGGAGCTGAGAACAGAAGACGAGCGGGTAGACCACCAAGAAACAGAGCCGGAGCCAAGGCTGAAGGTGTAACCCTATGACGACCGCAGTGTAGCCAAGTCGTCAGCCCAGGAAGCGTCTGCGTGACCAGTGAGGACAACTCGAGCCCGACCTCCAAGCACGAGCCCCATGCCCGACGTACTGCACAAGTAGCGCAACACCCTCTTAGCGGCATCCATGTGCTCCTTCCTGTGTCTGCTAGGAGCGACATAGCGTGCTAGAATGCTAAGAGGGTAGGCAAGGTCAGGTCGAGTGCAGGTCATCAGGTACATGAGGCAGCCCACAAGCTCTGGATACGGGCCACTCGGCTCTACGGACTCGTCCGAAGGTGGAGCTGAGAGCGAGTGACCGGTAGGCAGAGGAGTGGACTGTGGCGAGGAGTACGTGAAGCGGAAGCGCTGAAGGACCTGCTGCACCATGTGTGACTGAGTCAAGGTAATGGTGCACTGTGCTCTGTCCCGGGTGATCCGCAAGCCAAGATAGCTTGTCAGCTCACCCAGGTCTTACACGTGTGTCTCTTCTGCAGCTCCGACTTCACGTGGGCGAGTCTCTCAGTGTCAGCAGTAGCAAAGACCAGGTCGTCTACGTACACGAGAACGTAGAACAGCGGCAGAGAGGTGTCGGTGCGTAGAAACAGCGTCGGGTCAGCAGTAGAAGGAGCAAACCCAATAGTAGCAAGAGTTGTCCTCAGTGTGTCGTGCCACTCACGGGGTGCCTGGCGGAGACCGTAGACTGGCCGCTGGAGGCTCCACTGGGTACCAGCAGGAAATGACCCAGTGAAGCCAGGTGGGCGGCGCAGCCAGATCTCCTCGTGCAGGCTGCCCTGTAGGAAAGCAATGCTGAAGTCAAGAGAGTGAAGCTCGTAGTCACGCTGAGCGGCGACGTGCAGCAGAACCCGAAGAGTGGTCATCTTCGGGGTGGGGGAGAAGGTATGGAAGAAGTCAACTCCCTCTCGCTGACTGAAGCCTCGTGCAACGTAACGCGCCTTGAAGACAGGGGGAGAACCCGGCGGCCGCTTCACCCTGAAAATCCACATGCCACTGACGATGTTCGCCCCAGGCGGGGGAACCTCGTCGTCGTAGGTGCCTGTTGACTTCTAGGAAGCCATATCTGTGTCCATGGCTGTCTGCGACTGAGAGGAGTAGGGACCCTCTATCGCCTCTGCGTAAGAGCGCGGGGTCGGGATGTCTGGTGCATCCGGGTCTCCCTCAAGGGCAAGCAGCATGGACACGAGATGAGGTAAAGCAGCGGCAAAGCACTCAAACTCCTCCTGTCTGTCCTCAAGGGCGTCCGTGCCAAGAGCACACTCACCCCCGACGGACGGAGGACAGACAGACTCAGACTCAGGCTCAGCAACAAGACTAGCGGCGTAGTCTAGACGATAGGCGGCAGCAAAGTCAACAAGCTCAGAAACTAGAGCAGACGCAGCAGTGGACTCAAACGAAGGGTCAGTGACAACAGTGGCCAGGAAACGCGTGACAGTAGGACTAGCAGCACGAAGGGAGTCACACTCTGGGTCCGGACCGTCAGGAAGAGAGGACGCAGGAGGAGACGGCAGAGGGACACGCTGTGGAGCAGTGGAAGGACGAAGTGTCATATAGTGAGTGCCGAGGACAGGAGGAGGACGCTGACGCGGAAGACGATGACCAGTGCGGACAGCGCGAAGAGGCGACTCTGGACGAGACTCAGGCGACTCAGGACGAGACTCAGGCGACGCAGGACGAGACTCAGGCTTACGACGCTCCGTAAGACCTCTAGTCGGCCCAGAGTAAGGAGAAGGACCAGGCAGCGGAGAGGCTGGCTGTAACTGCGACTGCGACTGGACAGTCGGTGGACTCAGTAAGGGAGGAGTAGGACCAGTAGAAGGCGGGAGGCCAAGAACCCGCTGAAGGAGCGGAACGTAGTACGGCCGCGGCCGCGCAGCGCCTCCAGAAACAGCAGAGACAGCACCAGTACCCTCAGCTCCAGGGTAGGTGACCCCGAGGAGAGGTTTTAAGTTTGATTAAGTCATATTAGCCTGAGTTTATTAGGCCCTTACACCAACATCCAATACCATACCACAACGGTTTCACCATGTCTTGCATACACTTGGGCCTGAACGCTGCAACGTCGCCCTGTCGAGAAATGGTGATCGGTAACACATCACCACTTCTGCGATTTCCTTGTGCTTCATACCACTCCCTTTATGCACCATTTTGAAGGTCCATGCAAGAATTGAGCCCAATCCAATACCAAACCAAAACGGTTTCACCATGTTCTGCTTACACATGGGCCTGAATGCTGCGATGTCGCCATGTCGAGACATGGTTGTCGATAACACATCACCGCTTCTGCCATTGCCCTGTGCTTCATACCCTTTATGCACCTTGTTGAAGGTCCATGCTAGAATTGAGCCCAATCCAATACCATACCTTAACGGTTTCACCATGTCTTGCAAGACTTGGGCCTGAACGCTGCAACGTCGCCCTGTCAAAAGATGGCTGTCGATAACACATCACCGCTTGTGCGATTGCCCTGTGCTTCATACCACTCCCTTTATGCACCATGTTAAATGTCCATGCAAGAATTGAGCCCAATCCAATACCATACCACAACGGTTTCACCATGTCTTGCAAGTCTTGGGCCTGAACGCTGCAACGTCGCCCTGTCGAAACATGGTTGTCGATAACACATCACCGCTTGTGCGATTGCCCTGTGCTTCAAACCACTCCCTTTATTTACCATGTTGAATGTCTATGCAAGAATTGAGCCCAAACCAATACCATACCACAACGGTTTCACCATGTCTTGTAACACATGGGCCTAAACGCAGCAACGTCGCCCTGTCTAGATATGGTTGTCGATACACATCACCGCTTCTGCGATTGCCCTGTGCTTCATACCAGGGTCTCTTAATGCACCATGATGAAATTCCCCTCAAGATTGGGGCCCAATCTAATACCATACGACAATTGTTTCACGTTTGGCACTAGTGATCGTCGTGTTTAAATACCGTCCAACGACGTGTAACCGTTGCGGAATTCAACGTATACTTAGTACAATTGTCAGAAGTAATAGTTCGGGACGTTCATAGTGTGTGTGACATGAGCCAAATCGACTACCTTACCACAACCCCATACTATTACATTAGCAATGTATTTATTGAGGATTGTATTTGTTGTAGTTTTGAAGCGTATTTAGCTTGTATGTGCAACGTTGTTCATTTCGCGCCAGCACTGTACTTTACAGGGGTTTGGTTACATTTGGGGTAGTGGTCCAGAAACCGTTCCAGCGTGTACAGTGATTGATGCGTTGGCAACACTGAGTGGCTGACATATCTCAAACGACCCCTCCCGCGACAAAAGCACTAGCCAAGCGGTACATCCGCCATTGAAGCGGCTGTGATTGAGCGGTGAGTGGGTTTAGGATCGGGTGGCAAAACGTACACCGTCTGATCCAGCCTGATCTGATTAGCGTCAACTCTCTAGTCTCGCAAGCCACCCCAACCACCCTCGTGCCCCACCCACTAGCTTCCGTCACCCTCTGGCCCACAACTTTGATGTTGCTCGCTGGTTGATACAGGCGTTTCCAGATCGCCCGTGACTCAACAGTCGACTAAGTAATGGGCCTTAGCTCTGTACTTAGTGACCACTATTTCTGTTTATATTGAAGCACAGCTTTTCGGCGTGAGATGATTGATTAGACCGTCGAGTCTACCATAGTTACATTCCTTTGCGGTACGCTTAGTAAACCTGCTCAACAGATCCGCACGTTGAAAATAGCATTCATACTACAACCATGACATGTGCAACTCGACGAAAAGAAATGAATGATAAACAGGCTGGGCGACGCGCCACAAGGAGGCGGTCTTTTCAGACCGATCGGGATGGTGGTGGCGGATCTAAAGCTACTAAAGCGTCCGCCGCACGTGGCAGTCAACAGAAAAAAGAGGCGGGAAGAAAGGCCGCGCTTGGACAAGAGAAGTCCGGGGAAGACAAGGAGAAGCAACCAACGCCACGCAAGCGGGTTTCTACCGTAAAAAAAGGCGCGGATGTTGCCTCTGGTGGAATCCAGCCTGGGCCGACTGACGACGGCACCATCGGCGGCAAATAAGATTTTGGGCGAGGGAGCGTGATTCTTGGAGTCCGGTCGGCGAAGAGAGAGGGCTCGGCGACAGGGGGAAACCACGGCGACGCTCCCCGCGACGAGCATGTCGCAACCCAGAGGTCCGAGGCGGAAGCATCACAGCACCATCTGACGCTGCTCCAGCCGACCGTGGTCGAAGTTTGTCCTGCCGTGGTAGATAAGGACAACGTTGGGGAGCACAATTCTATGGAGGAGCAACACGGCATCGCCGACGTCGGTGGCTCTCCTCCTTAAGGTGGACGTGGGAGGCGTAGGCAGAGGAAGATCGAGGGGGAGGAAGAGTGTGACACCGCGGTGGCCGGGGACATCACTACGGGGGCGAAGAGGCGGCAGACGACAGGCAGTGCTGACGACGTCGGTGGTGCGGAAGTTGGGACAACGCGAGGCGCCAGGGAAGCAAGTGTCAAGGCGACGGGTCATGCATTGCGCTCGAAGGGCCGACCCGGAGCAAGGAAAACATCCGGCGGAAGGAGGGGCAAGCAAGCAGCGAGGGGGAAGAGGCCGAAACGCGGCGAAGAAGACCCTGATAATGCGGAGGAGGAGGGTGAGGGGGATGAGGAGGAGGATGAGGAGGAAGAGGAGGATGAGGAGGATGCGGAGGAGGAGGACGTGGAGGAGGAGGAAAAATATGAGGATGATGATGAGGAGGACGAAGAGGAGGAGGAGGAGGAGGACGAGAAGGGGGACGACGAGGATGAGGAGGAGGAGGAGGAGGAGGAGGAGGAGGAGGAGGAGGAGGAGGAGGAGGAGGAGGAGGAGGAGGAGGAGGAGGACGACGACGAGGAGGGGGACGACGAGGATGAAGAGGAGGAGGAGGATGGCGAGGGGGGGGAGGAGGAGGAGGAGGAGGAGGAGGAGGAGGAGGAGGAGGAGGAGGAGGAGGAGGAGGAGGAAGAGGAGAAGGAGGAGGAGGAGGAGGAGGAGGAGGAGGAGGAGGAGGAGGAGGAGGAGGAGGAGGATGCGGAGGAGGAGGAGGCGGAAGGGGCGGAAGAGGAAAAGGAGGAGGATGTGGCGGCAGTGAAGGTCACGGGCGCGCAAGGCAGACGCGGGAGTGGTACAGGGAAGGTGGTTGGCTGGACTCGTCGTTCTCGGAAATGCGGGGCAGTTGACGCAAGGCGTGGCAAAGCAGCAGGCAAATCGAAGGCGCGTAGAGTGAAGGTCGAAACTGAAGGGGGTGGTAAAAAATAAAGGAGCTAGGCCGCAAAAGGGGATCGAGAAGGTAAGGGTGGCCGCGCCAAAGGGGTTCCAATGGGTTCGGCCAAGAATGAAGCTGCTGGTAAACGTCGCAGCGGCCGCCAAAGCACCCCGCGGAAAGGTGGCAACGAGAAGGCGCAGGCAGCTAAACCGAAGGGACAGCAGCAAGGTAAGCACTGTGGCCCATACACATGGCGTGGCTGTCGTACTCTGTGCTAAACTGTGCCTATTAACACCACACATATCTTGTTTTCATCCTGCAGGGAAAGCAAGGTCGACGAATCTGCAAAGCAGGGTAAGGCCTCTTTTTACAAAACATTACCCTGCTAAACCCGATTTAGATTCAAACCTCTGCTCCTATGCATGCATGTTTACCCCTGTATTGAACTTTATTCTCTCCAACTCTGTGCTCATGCTCCCTATAACTCTCAGCCCCTCGTGTTACAAGCATTTGGTCACCGGTAAGCGTGCAACGGATGCAGCTAACGAAGAGGGCCGGAGGAGCGAGTGTTACCCCGCTATCGACAGGAGCCCCGCGGTTCTTCACGCCTTACTCCGGCCCGTCTAAGGTCGCTGCTATAGCACCGGGCACACTAGGAGGAGTGGATGCCGAATCCCCTACACAAGGTCACGTCACGTCACGCACTAGGGGAGTGCCCCTCATCCTCATACCCATATCGGCAGCTCCACGCATCGCCTGTCCGGGGCAGGGCGGTCTCCCCCCTGGCTGGTCCTTCGCACGGGCATCAGCCAAGCACTTATGCCAATTCCATAAGCTGCCCTTTTCCCGCCAGCGTGATAGTGTGAGGGCACACGGGAGTGCTGAAGAAGACATTGATCCCCTTGGCCAGAGGGGGGATTCTTGACACCCTGGTCCCAATCCCATGGTTGCCCTACTTTGTTACATGGGAGGAGTTTCAGGAACAGCGTCGTGGAGCACCTGCTAGTTATGCCGGGGGGTCCGCAGTGGTGCCTATGGCTGGTACCCCGCCGCCGATGAGTGCCGTGGACAAGGCACGACTGCTAGTGATGCAGGAGACAAACCCATTCCCGGTATGTGGCGGGCCAAATGGGGCGGGTTGGGGTTCACGTGGCAAAATGGCGGGGTTGGGGAGGACGTGGCGGTTCGTAGGGTACACGAGAGCGGCGCGTGACGGGGCGAGACATGTCAGGTGGGTGGGAGATGATGTGGCTTGTGGTAGGGGGGTGTGACGTGGCAAGTGGGGCGGGTTGTTGGTGGACGTGGCGGAAGTAGGAGGGTGTGACGTGGCGAAAGGTGAGGGTTGGGGATGACGTGGCGGTTTGAAAGGTACACGGGAGCGGCGTGTGACGGGGCGAGGCGTGTCAGGTGGGGGGGGGGGGGGGGGGGGGGGGTGACGTGGCTTGTGGTTGGGGGGTGTGATGTGGCAAGTGGAGCGGGTTGTTGGTGGACGTGGCGGATGCACGACGGTGTGACGTGGCGAAAGGGTGAGGGTTATCATGGTTATAACTGTAGGAGTAGATGAACTCAATATATATTTATGTCTAGGAGGATAGTGATGCAATAGGGAGGATATCAAAAACAGGCGAGCGCGAGGAAAGAAGAGAGGGAACCAAAATTAAGGCACCGTTGGGTAACGGTAAACTAAGCAGATGACTTAAGGGTGAGTAGGACATAGCATTGTCTGCTTGCGTGTTTGTTTTCGCAACAAATCTTGGATCATGTTCCTAAGTATCCCAAGGCACACCAGCAATCTGGCGAAGCCAACCCTGCAAGCTACAGGGTAACCCATCTCTCTGCAGTGAGTCAGCCGAGAAAAACCAGATCTAGTGGCGCTAGGCATCGCTAGGCTAGAGAGACACTCTTTTAACAAACACGCAAGAGGCGAAGCCGATGAATAGCAAAGATAAAGACCTGCTAAGAACGCGCATCTGGACCGGAAGCGAAGATAGGCGGGCGGAACCAAGCTGGCGTGCGCACACTATTGAAGAGACGAGCACCTCTGCGCAGATTGCGAAGGAGGTAGAGTCGCCAACGGACGTACCCCGCATCAACGAGCTCGGGCAGCCGAAAAATAATGGACAAGGAACGCGAACGTAAAGCAGCGTCCGAACCGGGAGGAACGCCAAGGAAGACGGGACGGAGCTACCGCGCGGAGACGTTCGGCCGAAATCACGTAACCAAGATCCCGCCATCAGAAATGCCCAGAATGGTCGGACGCGGAGAACGGAACACCAAGGGGAGAATTAAAAGAGAGCGCCGTGGCGATGCTGCTAGGAGAATCCCAAGAAGAGCCGATAAGAAACGAAAGGCGGTGGAGATCAGCTAACTTGCCGAAAGTGGAAGTAGCCGAGAGATACAGTGGCATCCCGGGTGTAGGGCCGAGCCTGAAGAACTTTCTGATGCAGCTAGAGACGGTGCGGTACTGCTGGGAGAGAGACGGATACGGCCCGTCGGAATTCTTCAGAAAAATGGTGGGAAACTTGACCGGGGAGGCGGAGATGTTCTATTGGTTGGTGCGAGAAGAAAATCTGGAGGAGCTGGCCTGCGGAGAGATCGAGAACCCCACAGCCCGCTTCATTTAGATGCTGAGAAATGAGTTTGTCGGACAAACGAAGGCAAGGGTGGAGGAATTCCGAGACTTCAGGAGGAATCGCTGCTCGCGTAATTCTTCCGCCTGAAAGAGCTGGCAGAAGACCTGGAGAACAGAGATGAGCGCCTGCTAGTGCGGAAGTTCGTGCGCGGCCTAGACGAGGAGCTGAGGAGCGTGGTGAGGAATCCCGTGTACGGCATCGGCGCCAACGTTACCCTCAAAGAAGTCTACGGGCTGACAAAAAGGACAGAACATGCCCAAAGGCTGCTGGACCTAGAGGATGGCGAGACACGCAGCCGAACGCGGACCAGCTAGGCAGCCACGGCAGTACCGGAGGCAGTCAGCGAGCAGGGAGAAAGAATGGACAGCCGGACGTGCCACCGCTGCGGAGAGGGAGGACACCGGAAAAGGGACTGCCCGAAGGCTCTGACCGCGACTATTGCGGGAGGAAGGGACACTGGAAGGAAGAATGCTACAGCAAGCCGAGGGAAACACATGGAGTAAGCTGAGAAGAGCTTGAGGCAGAAGTCAAGAGACTTCAGATGCAGCTGGAAAGGTGCAGCCAGCAAGAGAAGTGAAACCCCGGGCAATAATGGCGTATGAAGAGATTGAAGGCGAAGAGGAGGAAGAAGAGTAATACATGCGAGAATATGCGGTGATGGCTTACCCCAGAGATCGGGAAGAAATAGATCTGAGGCCGCGCAACAGCCAGTCACAGACCAGCGAGACAAGCACCGGGAGCAGCAGGAGAAGCCAACCCCGAACAGAGAACCGGAGCTCGGGCATGCGGAGACACCCGAATGAGCGCTTGGTCTGCCAGGCCTCGGTGCTGATAGCGGAGAAGGGCAGTCTAACGGTAGGAGGACTACCGGTGAAAGAAGCCATTATTGACACGGGGGCATACAACGTCCTGATTGGCAAAGGGCTAGCGAAGCAGCTAAAATTGAACCTGCCTGGGAGACTTGTGGAGCGAGGGATTCTCCTAATGACGGCGGAGAGAGGGCAGCCAAAGTGGATGCCGCGAACGAAGAGACCCATTGAGGTGGTGCTGCTGCCGGGGACAGAGAAGGAGTGTTGCCTAAGGCTGCAGTGTGGCGTATCGGAATCTGAAGACTATGATGTGCTCGTGGGGATGGAGTTGCTGTACCGGGTGGGAGCCACAATATGCACCTGGCAGGAGAAAGTTCTGTTCCGCGTGCAAAATTAGGATCCATAGTGTGCAGTGGGCACCCTGCCCGTCGAATTCGTCAGACAAGAGCCGCGGGAAGCGTATCCGACACAGAAGAAGGATTTGAGCGAGGAGCTGGATGAATGGTCCTGGGAACGATACGGCGAAGAGTATGAGAAGAGAGTGGAGAGGAAGGTGGCGGGGTTGGACCCGCCAGCACTGACGGAGAGGGTGAGCAGGCTCTGGACCCTGGAATGAGCCATATGCATAGTGGAGCTGTATGGAGGCATAGGCTCAGGATTGGCGGCGGCGCTGAGGGCAGGGTGCATGGTGAAGAAATGGATACATGTGGAGAGTGATCCTGCAGCGAGGAAGATGGCTAGGCATCATGCGCAGCTGCTGCTGGAGAATACCCCGAGCAGCTGTGGCCAGAGGCGCTGCCTAAGGAAAGTGATGCAGGAGTGCATGATGTAAGAGACATCAATGAATGGGTGTTGGACGACTGGGGGCAGATCGACCTGGTAGTGGCAGGATGGGAGTGTCAGGGCTACTCAAGGGCAGGAGAAGGAAGAGGCATGGAGGACCCAAGAGGGGCGTCGTTTAGAGACTTGAAACGAGTGCTGGGGATTATCCAGACGAAGCAGGGCGAGGTGCTGTATATCTTGGAAAATGTAGACATGGCAGAAGATCGGAGAGAGCCAGTGAGGCAGGCGTTTGCGGAGATCGTGGAAGTGCTAGGGAGAGGAGTGCCGGCAGATGCAGCTCAGCTAGGTTCAAGAGCGCACAGGCCGCGGAGATACTGACAGAATGGCACATCCACAGCCTCCCTGCGACACTCATTGGCACGAATGCAGAGGCCCGAACCGAGACTGGTCAGTGATATACTGGAACCGAACTGCCTGCCAGCCCCGGTCACCAGCCCAGACCATCCGTCGCAATACCAGTGTAATGTGCCGGGGAAACCGAGGCAAGCACTGCCTACACTGGTGGCCTACGAAGAAGCCAGGGGCTTCAAAATGGAGGGGGAATTGCCCGGCCCCGGCATGATCTATGACGTGCGGGAAGGCAGATGGGAGGAGCCCACTGCGAACGAGCGGGAGGCAGCGATGGGACACCTGTGGGGAGCTCCGGCACACCCAGAAGTTACGGAGCGGCAGAGGAGGGCGGCACTAGGAAGAGCCATGGACGTCAACGTAATGATGTGGTTGATCGAAACTATCCGTATTCAGCTCAAAGCAAGGGAGATGCAGAGAGGCTTTTGTGCTCAGCGAGAGAGTCTTGGAGTACGAGGCCACGGCAGAGCACAGGAGAGTGCTCGACGAAATGGGGGAAAGATACGAGGAGAGAGTGGAGGAAGGGTATGCCTACATGGCGATGCCGGAAGAAGCAGCGGAGAAGGAGGAAGAGAAGCAGCCAGAGCCGGAAGAGAAGAGGGATGGAAAGGACAGGAAGCCCGAGGATGAATGGCAGTTAGGAGAGGGATTGGCAGGGACGCCGGCTACAGCAATGCAGGAAATACACAGGCAGCACAGGGAGACCTTTGCCTATACCATGCAGGAGCTGGGAAGGTGCAAGACACAGGAGATGCGGATCGAACTCACGAGGGAGGTGCCGATATATCAGAGGAAGCGGCGCATGAGCCCTGGGGATTTAGACATTTGCATGGAGAAGTGTGCGGAGCTATTGGCGGCACGACTGATTCAGAGGTTCGAAAGCGATTATGC